GCCACCCAACATGGGTGCCTGGATCTGGATTCTGGTCCTCTGATGGTAAGCATTCAGCCACTGAACTGTCTCTCCAGCCTGTGATTCTTTTACAGTAATAGTCATGAAAAGCATCACCATCTTAAATGGTACGCTTTCTATTTAGGAATACTAAAATTAACTAAAGCAAGGTGACCATTTCTGCACAGCTAAGACCAACAGCTGTCCTGTTTTGCCTCGGGAGACACATTTAAACTCTAACGATGTTCCCATTATAGCATGTGACATGAGGTGCTTTCAAAAACAATTTCTATTTTCATTTTAAATTGCTTAAATATAGAAATAGACTGAAGACATACATGTATATTTGTGCATATCTATATATAAACATATGGATAATTTAAAAAAACAAACCTTTTATTTTAAGATAATTGTAGATTCATATCAGCTGCTAGGAATAATTAAAAAAAAACAGCCTACAAAATCTGGAGCCTAAATTTTTTCCTATGAGAACATCTTTTCTTTTAAAGACTTCAATTTTGATTTGTATGTGTGTCTGGGTGTTTGTATGCCACGTGTGTGCAGGCACCTGCAGAGGCCAGAAGAGGGCACTGGATTCACTGGAACTGGAGTTTCAGGTGGTTGTGAGCTGACATGTCTGCAAGAGCAGTCAGCCCATGCTCTTAATCACTGAGCTGTCCCTGCCAGTCACTCCACTGAGAATGTCTATGAAACCATTAACACGTCACATGTAGGACAATGGTGTTGAGAGCGCCCATCACGCTGTGCTCATGTGTGAATATGAATATTCACCCTCTGCAGCTTTGTACTGCCTGAGAACCTTGGTGTACACCCAACAGGACAGTCTTCAACCACACCAGCCATCGTGCTGTTCTTACACAAACATCTCACCCTCCATCTGACAACTCCTGTTTTCTACTGGCCTGTTCTGTTTCTATCATTCTGACACCCAAAGAATGCTGCAGAGATGGAATTAGGCAGCATAAGTGAGGTTTCCTGGGGAACCTCATCCCAGCTGCTGGGATGTTTCTTTTCTTTCTGTTGCTGATGGATGTTTTCTGCCCTATCACACCAGGGGTCCCTCTCTGTGCTGTGAATTCTCTGGGTCCCCCGTGAACACATCAGGTAATTATATAGACTAGTTCCACACTCAGGATTCCTCTGCTGATTTCCCTCAAGCTCTGACAAACATGATCCTGTTACTATCGACAATTGTGCCTTTACCAGAATGTCGGCTAGATGGACACGCAGGCTTTCTTAGTGACTTTCGTGCTGGCAATACACCTTTAAGCTTCTTCTGTGGCTTAAGTAGTTTCCTTTGTGTCAACACTGTATGGATGTACCATCATTTATGCCTCACCCTGTTGAGGAACATCATGGTTACACTCAGCTTGGGGCAAGTAGGAATGAGGCTGCTCTTCCTGCTCGTGAACAGGTTTTTGTGTGAATCTAAGTTTTCCGCTCATTTGGGTAAATATCTGGGCACACAACTGCTATGTTGTGTGATGGGTGTTTGGTTTGATAAGATGCTTCCAGTTGGTCTCACAGATGTGACCACACCATTCTGCATTACCACCAGCGGTGAGAACGTTCACTGTTCTACAGCCTCGCCAACCTTTGGTATTGCCAGACTCCGGGATGTTAGCCATTCTCACAGGTACACAGTGGCCCCTCACTGTTGTCTTCTTTAATTACAGATGGTGCTGAGCTCATTTGCATCTGCTAACTTCTCATCTGTGCATTTAGCCGTCAGAGACATGGCTGGGGAGGTCTTTGTCCAAGTTGAAGGCATCCATTGCTTTATCCTTCCTGACGTTTATTGCATAGTCTGCATATAAATCCATTTTACAGCTTATCGTTTTATGTGTATTTGTGTTTTGCCTGCACATATGTACGTGTAACACATGCGTGCAGCACCCGTGGAGACCAGAAGATGCCAGATTCCCGTGAGTTACTGATGGTTGTGAGCAGACACGTGGGAGCTGGGAATTGAACTCAGGTCCTCTGGAAGAGCAGCCAGTGCTCTCAGCACTGAGCATCTCCCCAGCTCTGGGTACAAACTCTGTGTTTGCGGTCATCTCTCTGAGCACATGCTGCATTTACCCATTCTTTTAAAAGAGGCTTTCACAGAACAACAAAAAATTATTTTAATGAAGTTCAACTTATCAGTATATACTTCCTGCCACATACACTCCACCTCAGACTTATTTAAGTAAACACACACAGTGTTGGATGGCAGACCCAAAGTCTCATCTGCAAAACTCTTCATCTTTACCTGCTCAAGTATGTGATGGAAATCTTTTGAATGGACTCCTTAATTCTCACAGCCCATTGTGTAAAAACCTGTGAACCGCCCCCCCCCCCCACCACCACCACTCCAGCATGAAAGTGTGAATGTCTGGGTGTTAACTGTTGCTCTATTGACAATTAATTGTTCTGAAACACCAGGTGAATGAAACCTCTGAGTTTTATGTCCCAGGTCAACAATGAAGAAACCAACCTTTGGTGGTTCACCTTTCAATTCTAACCCAATCAAACCTGAGGTTTGAGGTGTAAACAATCTGGATCCCTTATCTCATAGTCTTCCTCCACCTCTTCAAACATCTCAGCTTTCTCTCTCCTCTGTATATCAGAGACAAGCCCTTCATTCCTAGAGTATAGCTTAATGTCTGCAAACTGTTGGGTACTGATGAGCCTAATTGAAAACAATTTTTTAACCTCCCTGTGAGTTACTGGTCAAGGAGTGAGTGCCAGAGGATCCCAAACAATGCAGGTTAATGCCATCACTCTTGGTTGCCCAGCAGAACTTGATAGTAAGATTCCATTGCTGAAGGCATTACATACTCTAGCCGGAGGACTTGGAAATCAAGCTGATACTTCTCTGGAAGATCTCCCTGCTGGCTAGCTTTCATAGTTCTGGAAGGTGCTATGCAGGCTGCTGTGGGAGAAAGGTCATCAACAGTCGTATCCAGCTGTGAACCTTGTTAGCCACAATAATGACTGGTCTGGCAAGATAACCTCATGAGTGTAATAGTGGCATGAATATTATGGGTGTAACCAGCTGCTTTCTAATTGGATTTGAGGCCCACTGTAAACCTGGCCAAAAACCCAGGGCTGGGGAGTTCACAGGCCCTACAGGTGAACCTATTACCATTATGAACATGGTATCAAACAGCCTTCTAAATATATTGAGAACAATTTTTTGTTTGTTTGTTTATCAAGACAAGGTTTTTCTGTGTAGCCCTGGCTGTCCTGGATCTCGCTGTGTAGACCAGGCTGGCCTCCAACTCACATAGATCCACCTGGCTCTGCCTCCCAGTGCTGGGATTAAAGGCATACGCCACCAGGCCCAGCTACTGAACACAATCTAAACAAGATTTAATCTGCAGCTATGTAGATCAGTCTGGAGACTATAAAACAAAAAGTTGATCAGAACAAAAAAGGAGCCTTAAACCAGAAACCTGACACTCAAGCCCTTTCTTAGACTGGTACCAGTGGCTTCTGGGATTTCCTTCAGATGATATTATGTTGTAGTGCATCTGGGCTGCTGGGGTGGGAAATAAACGGAGCAGAGTGTAAGCAACAGAGATGGTTATCAGAGTCAGAGAGGCTCCACGTCCCACACCAAGGAGTCAGCTCGGCCCTCTTCTGGATTATAAGCTACCAACTTCTCTTGGAGTCCTCAGCACTACAGACTGCACAAGCCAGCACCCATGTCCTCTTGTATAAGGACAACAACAGTGTTGGGCAGGGCTGCACAGTAATGACCTGCACACATCAGACTCCTAAGGCCATCACCCACTATCCACAGCACAGCCTTTCCACCATGTGCGCTGTCTCAGGTTGCTATTCCTATCCCACTAAGAAGCTTTACAATTTTAAAAGTAAATTTCATTCTCCTAAGTTTGCAACGCTTTTTCTTCCGGAGTCTGTGATCTCTCTCCACTGTTATACCAATATTTAGAACACAAATAATTGTTCTGTCTCCTGACTCCATCTTGGGAATTTTGTAAACATAAAAAGGTGATATGTGAAATACCTCAATCAATACTAATGAAAGAATATACTGATTATGAATTAGCTTATTATTTATTTCCATTTTTTACTAATTTAATAACTTGCTTATTGAATATGAAACTTGCACATTCAATAGTCAATTGTTATCTTATTCATAGAGAATTTATAATTATTTCTACTTATTTTAGAGTATTTTATAATAATAATAATAAGGAAGATTTATATTTGGGAGATGGAGAGATGGCTAAGCAATTAAGAGCACAATTAAAACATTGCAGAGGACCTGAGTTTAGTTCCCAGTACCCATTCTAGGCAGCTCACAACACACACACACACACACACACACACACACACACACACACACACACACACACACTTAAAAATAAAATGAATCTTTAAGACACTTTTTTCTTGGCTGTAGGCAACTTCCAATACATAAAAGCACCTGGAAACGAGCACATGAATGATTACCAATTACTACATCTAACCCAGGCAGCTTTCAAACAAACATCAGCACTGTGATCCTGGCAGGGGAATGTCCTCTGTCAACAGACCTGGATGCTGCACTTCATTAAAAATGACTAATGCTGACCTGATCAAAGGGTTATAAATGTTGGTGCTAATGACAGCAGAGACCCATTTGGGGAACACTCCCGGTTTTCCTTTTTCTCTCAGATTCTCTTACTGCTGCATAAACTGAATACTGTTTTTGGAAGAAGGGAATATTTAAAGGAGTGTGTGGCTTTGTATGAAGGGTAAAGTGCTGCCCCCGATCTTGAAATGTCCACTGAGACAGAGATTTCCCCTTGAAATGAGTTTCAAGCAATCTTAGTTCCCATCACTCCTGCTCATTACAGAAAGATGCTGCTATCCAGTATTTGCTAATTATGATCGAGACCAGAAACCCAGCAAATTTCAAAGGGAACAATAGAAACAAACATCTGAAAACCATTTCCTGTGGGTTCTGTTACCCGGCTACTCACGGCAGATCTTCCAGTTTGGAGGCTTCGTGTCTCGGATCCAGCAGGTCGTAGCCACATTCATTGTAGATTTCCAAGTAAGAAATGTGTGTCGTGTAGACCTTGCTGCTGTCCTGCGTGGAGAAGAAAAAGGCCGTATGTAACGGCTAGAGAGAGATGCGCCATTTGTCTCCAGGCTTTTCTCACAGAACCCTCCGCTGTCCTCCCATGTTATATGGTTTACATTTGCAGTTTGTGACACTTTTGAATTGCTGTGGCCATCTGTGTGAAGTGGGTTATTATTTTTTTTGTAATACCTAATATCCATGATTATAAGTAACTTCAGTCTGTTAGTTTTTATTGGTTCCACATTATACATAAAATGTCAATATACACTTGCAGTGAGCCAAGTTGCTTGTAGAACTGAATAATATGTTGTTTTTTTACTTTCCAGGTCCCCCCAAAAAGGTTACTAAAAACAAATAAACAAACAAACTTACATCCTGTGAACAGTCTGTTCATAAAAGAGCAGAGGTTATTATTTTGGTTCAAAGACCAGGAGCCAATGTTTCCATTCTTGATCATAATTAATTTTCCTTTACTTTCCTACTACTCAGGATTTTATATTCTTTTAAAAAATATTAGCCGGGCGGTGGTGGTGCACGCCTTTAAATCCCAGCACTTGGGAGGCAGAGGCCGGCGGATCTCTGTGAGTTCGAGGCCAGCCTGAGCTACCAAGTGAGTTCCAGGAAAGGGGCAAAGCTACACAGAGAAACCCTGTCTTGAAAAACCAAAAAAAAAAAAAAAAAAATTTAATTATTTACTCTCTCTCTCTCTCTCTCTCTCTCTCTCTCTCTCTCTCTCTCTCTCTCTGTGTGTGTGTGTGTGTGTGTGTGTGTGTGTGTGTGTGTGTGTGTGTGTGTGTGTGTGTGTATGTATGTGCACATGAGTGCAGGTATCCACAAAGGCCAGAAGTGGGCATCAGATTCCCTTCAGCTGGAGTTACAGGCAGTTGTGAACCACCCAATGTGGGTGCTGGGAACAAAACTCTACCCTCTGCTAGAGCAGTCATGCTAACATGGTTTCCTACTGATATTAAGTTAAGAAATACTCCTGACCTTGAAAAACTGACATAAGAGAAGAATGTCTACATTTCAAGTCCTTCCAAAAATACCTGGGCACCAGTGAACCACTGTGGTTGACACTGTTGTTACTGCTGTTGATAAGTGTTTTCAAGTATTATGTCTAGAAGCCTCCAAATGGAGAATTATGTATGATGGGTTTCCAGAGAAAGGTAACCGGGGAAGGAAAACCCTCCCTGAATATGGATGGCACTTTCCCATGGGCTGGAGTCCTGAACTGAGTAAGTGGGGAAAAGAGAGGGAGGGCTGAGTGCTAAGTGCATTCATCACTCTGCTTTCTGACTGTGGACACAATGTGACCAGTCGGGTCATGTTCCCACCACCACGCCCTCCCCACACGGTGTACTCATATCTTCCAACACTAAGGCAAAAATACACCCTACTTTAAGCTGCTTTTGTTGGATATTTTGTTACAGCTCTGGTCAAAGTAGCTAAAATAATACAAGAATATGAAAGAAATGGACACGAGAAGAGAGCAGTGGACTTGAGCCATCATCTGTAATGGGGATGTTCTCTTCTTTAGAATTAGGATAAGAAGTCAGGGAAATGGCCAGCCCACTGCCCGGGATAAGGACAATGCCTTGGCTCCTCCAGCTTCTACTTCTCCTGCAGTTTTTCTGGCTTACACACTCCCATCTCACTGAGTGATGTGGCGAGCTACCTTTCTTGGTCCTTTTCAGCATCTGGGTTGCCAGACTGTAATGTAACACATGTGTTTCTTGCAGACAGACATTTCTTTTGCCCCAAACAAATCTGAGCCTCACAATGCTCCAATGTAAGGAGAAGCGAGTCCTGAAACAAATGGAATCCTCCCAAGTCCAATGGAAATAAGTCCTCACTCCCAGGCCTTTCAAAACACAGGGTGCTCTGGGGTCTTAGTTAGTCTTGAAGAAGGACTTGGCTTCAGTCTCATGCTGAGCTCTCTGATCCAGGGCAATCAGCAGGGGCCTCTGGCTCCAGTCTGCCTTCTAGTCTCCAGTGTGGACACACTTCATGGAGCACTCCAGTGTGGACACACTTCATGGAGCACTTGTTTCAGTACATTCCACTGTGATTATAGCGAATGTGTGTGGCCCACAGCAGAAACTGGTCCATTTCAGTTTCCCTGGCTGTCAGTTGGTTTGGTGGGCTTTCTCCAAGTCCGGGAAATTACTTGAGATGATTCAGAACTAAACAAGGTTTACATGACATCAATGACAAAGGGGTCTCCCAACAACTGACAGATGGTCAGTGCCCTGGAGACTTTTAGACTTCTTTGGTAAGCACAGAGATTTAGAAGAGACAAAGCATACTTCCCATTAGGAGAGGATTTGTTTATTCTATTCAGCCTAACCAGGGAAATTGGCTTCATTGGTTCTGAGAGCTTCAAAAGGTTTTCTGAAACTGGCCAGGTACCATTAGGCTACATGGACATATATGAATATCAATGAGTATGGAAACAATCATTAAGTATTTGCATATACAAATATTAATGATATGGTAATAATGATCATGAACCAGGCATACCCAGTGTGCCAAGAACTTTAAAGATTTGTTTTTATTATTCTTAATTACGTGTCTGTCTCTGTGGGTATGAATGTAGTATCTGCAGAGCCTGAAAGAGGACATTGGATCCCCTGCAGCTAGGGTTTTAGGCAGTTGTGAGCTGCCTATACGGGTGCTTGGAACAAAACTCAAGTTCTATGCAAGAGCAGGGTACACTCTTAACTGGAGCACTGTCTCTCCAGCCCAAGATCTTAAAATACAACGTTTGTCGCCCCACAGCAGCTCTATGACATTGAGACATGAAGCCACATGCCATCAGTGGCACACATCCTCAGAACCCTGACAGCTTACACAACCCTGCCCATCCTTCCAAGATGACAGCTTTCCACTTTGGTCCACGGCAACAAGAGCTATTGGAAATTATAGCTCCTGTTTGTGAAATGTGTGGAGAAGGCACAAGAGGTAGTGTCAGGAATACAGGAGGAAGTGAGAAGAAGGGCTCTGAATGTGGCAGACACACTCCTCAGCCCTTCCTCCTCACTTTTCCTGGCTCACACAGTTGGCACTCTTGGGCCAGTGAGAGAAGAGCTGAACTAATGGATAATTGCTGCTTTATGGATGGCAATTAGAATTATGCAGATCTCAGCAACTTCTTCTCGTCTTTGCAACTCAAAATGCAAATAGCCTTCAGTAGGGAAATCCAGAGTGACTGTTACAGCAGCGCAGTTAGACATTTATGCAGAATTCAAGGACTCGCTGGAGGTGGAAGAGAGACAGAGAGCTTCCAGAACAGTTCAACCCTTGCTTTCAGAAAATGGAAAGCAGAAACCCACAGAAGTTAAGTGACTCATCACAGGAAATGGATTCAAACACAGCCAACCAACCAAAGCCAATCTGAGCTACAAAGGCACTGGAGGCAGGCGAAGAAGCCATTTGCCTGACAGAGCTGTGGGCCAGTAATATATTGTAAGATGTGCACAGAGAAAAGTATCTCAATGGAGGCTCACTTTTTCCAACTATAAAATGGGAATAAAGATGCCTAGTGTGGTAGTTACAATATATGGTGTATTAAAAAGCCACCCATGGTGGGAGAGAGACGGCTCAGTGGTTTAGAACACTTGTTGCACTTACAGAGGACCTGGGTTCAATTCTCAGCACCCATGTGGTTTCTCACAACCACGCTAACTCTAGTTTCTGGGGGATCTAACACACTCTCCTGGCTTCTGTGGGTACCAGGCATGTGTATAGGACACACACACACACACACACAGGCAAACATTCGTAAGTAGGTGACATATTCAGTAGAGAGAGGGGATGACTCTAGAACAGGACTATGTTCACTGCAGTGGGGCAAATTCTGGCAAATTCTTCCAGCTTCTATTATTACCATGGGAAAACGGCAATCATGCCGTCTGATAGATTTGGTATTTAGGGACTAGAGGAAGATATGTATTAGTAAAAGGGTCTCAAACTGCAGAGAGTAAGATACTAGTTGGTCAAAGGTGTTATCTGAGCGGGAAGATGGCTCAGTGGGTAAAGAGCATGCTGTGCCAGCATATAGATCTGCGTTCAGATCCCAGAATCCACGTGAAGAGCTGGGTGTGGTGGGGTACAGCAGTAACCCTACTGCTGGGCTGGGGGAAGAGAAGGACAACCCCAGGGTCCACTGATCAGCCAGTCAACAAAAGATCCTATCTCAAAAAGCAGAAACAAAACAAAATCAGTGGAGAGAACGAGAGGACCTCCAACCTCAACTTCTGTACCACCTCCACACACGTGCACACCCACACACCCTGACACACAGCATCCATCACACCAGCTCCCGCTCCACCGCAAAAGCTCTCTCTCTAAGTCCTGTAGGCATCTCAGTGGGGCCCCAGCCTTTCTTCAATGAAGTCCCAGCCCCGGTATGAGAAGCACCTTCTGAATTTCCATTCCTCCTGCAAAGTCTGAACCTTTCTTTAAATGGGAAGGCCAGAGCTTTTCTACAACAGCACATTCCCGAGTGAGCTCAGTGTAACAGATGCCTCGAGCACTTCCTCACCATGGAGTACTTCTGCTGAATAGATCAAAGAAAATGGGAACTTGTTTCCTTTACCTTTTGCAACTGCTCAAAAATATATGACAGAGTCCTTGGGATGATGCCTCTGTCGCTGTAGCGCTCAGCCCCACCTGTGATGGTGAACGTCTTGCCACTGCCTGTCTGCCCATACGCGAAGATGGTACCATTGTAACCTGCCAGGACACTGCAAGAAGAAACGAGAGAGTTTTAACAGCTAAGTGGACACCCACGTTGGTACTGGTGCCTCATGGTTGAATAGCAACCTTATGGATAGCACTGAAAATATATTTATAAGGTATTTACAAAATATATGATGATCCAGTTAGAATTGTGTGTGTGTGTGTGTGTGTGTGTGTGTGTGTGTGTGTTCATGCCTACAGGTGCCTGTGTAGGAGTGCATATAGAGACCAAAGGTTAACACTGTGCATCTTCCTAATCCTTCTCCACCATATTTTTGAGACAGTCTCTCTCATTGAACTCAGAGAGTCCAGGACCCCCAGGGAGCCTCCTGTCTTCACCTGCCTATCTCCTGGATTATAGCGCCTGCTGCCAGGCTGTTTTAGGTGGGTGATGGAGAGCAAACGCAGGTCGTCAGGTTTGGGTGGCAAACACTTTCCCCACTAAGTCATTTCCCTGGCCCTCGGAATAGTTTTTAATCCAGGAATCTTAGGATCTCAATGTCTTTCTTTAGGGAAGGACATCCCACTCAAATGGAGTCCAGCATCATTCTACTGTCTTTGGGTTTTACTGTACTAGACTTGAAGAATGAGTTGAGAAAAATCATCTCAAGGAAACATTGTGATTTGGCAAGGTGTCTGTCTGCCTCCCTATGTAACTCCCTGTTAAATACTCAAATCAGTAGTCATCCCTACATTACAGAGTACACCCTTTTTACAACTGTGGTTCTTGAAATGTATTTCTCTATGTAATACCTACCACCAACAGAAAGTCCTCGGGACCCCACCCCCCGGAATGAGATATATATGTATGTGTGTGTAATATATATATATGTGGAAGATGTTGGCCCACGTGTGCTATTCAGCCCAGCCAGGCATCCTGTGATCTGATTTGGTCTTGGGAAGCCTTCGAACATAGGCTTTTGACAATGTGCTCTGTATGATGTGGGCTTCGAAGAGTGGGCCTTATACCCACACCACATGCACCAGGAAACTCTTGCAGTTTCTCTGTCTTTCTCGCCACAAGTGGCTCCTTGATCCCCAAGATGCTTTCCTCACAGCAGCCACCATGGGGTCGGCTAAGGGGACTCAAGTCCCACATGGTTTTAAGCAGACAGCTCCTCCGAGATCACTTTCCACCATTTGCATGGGGAATCCTGCTCTACGCTGGCTACTGAGACTCTGTCAACATTTCATTCTAGATCTCTCTCTGCTTCAGTGACATGTTGAATGACCTGTCCTCACAGTGTCCCGAGATAACACAGGGGTTACCCAGACCTTGTTCTGAAGAGCTCAGTTAACCCTTAGCATCTTATGCAGCTAGAAACCTCACAAACGCTGTGTTCAGCAACAGACTGATGTGTGCTCTGCTCTGTGCAGAGGCGCTAGTATTGCTTACAAACCTGAAGGGCTTGGTACAGGGAGTGGGGAAAACAAAGCTACTGTGTGCCAGTGCTCTGTTTCCAAGACGGGAATCATGTTTCCACCTGCGCCTTCACATTGAAACTGTCCACTGTGGACATCTCAGCTTGTAAGGCTGTGGTTCCCATGATGCATGGAGTTGGAGTGTTACTGAATCTTTTCCATCAATGGAATCTGTCACCAAGGAGACAGAGGTGTCTCATTGGAGTATCATTTGTATGTAGAATATTTCTTGCCACAGATGTGTTGAGTAAATGGGGGTCTATAACTTTAGGTATCAGACCTTAAACACTGTACCAATTCTTGACAGAAAGAATTCCTAAAATACATGAGGCATTATCAGTTGCAAAAAGCAAAGAATATGAGCACAAATTAGCATTTCCATTTTGCCATAGACACCGCCTATGAAAAGTGATGATTGGGGGTGACCTGTGTGTCCTCACTGACCATCTATCGGTTTTATACCAAAATCTTATTCTCACACTGCTAGTCACCTGTCTATCTGCTTTAAAATGTGTTTCCCTTATCTGCTACAGGATGGAAAATTAGACATCAGTTTCATAGAACACAGCATTTTAACAAAGAATGTAGGCCCCACCTACTTTCCCCAGCTCCTGTGGCCGCCTATCACACTGCACCCGTGAAAACTTACACAAAGGCACAACGGTGAAATCGGCCCATTTCCTTTTTCTCGAAACCCCTTATCCCAAATTAACCTTGTGCGCACTCCTCCGTGTGCCCTAGGCATTTCCACATGCCAGTCTGGTCTCATCTGTCCTAAGAGAAAATGCAAGTTTAAAATAAAGATAGAGAGGGGATGATGTAACATCCTTTGAGATAGCTCCATTCATCCACAAGAAGAAAGACACCATGGCAAAAAGTCTTCTGTTTGACCCTGAAAAGTATCTCAATATGACCAACAGCTCGGGTACTGCTTAAAAACAAAACAAAAAACCTCAGTAGAAACCCTGAGTTTCATCGTGATTCAACATCAGAATCCCTAGCCCTTCACCCCAGCTCCAAGGAAGCCTTTAAAAATAATATGCCTGGAGGTATGGGACCATAAATCCCAGCAGCTCAGCCACTGCTGAAGAGCAGTGTGCGTCTGGAGCCCTCACAGGGATCAGAGGACATCCCTTCTGATTCAAAGCCCTCACTGCGAACAGCCCTGGCTACAGGCAAATATTTAACATCCTAAGGTGGTAAGACCAGTGGGCTGAGCATGAATGTACAAAGTCTGTTAACAAGGACAGCGAGGCCCTTTGGAAAGACCCTTGACACTTCTGGGACACGGGAAGGCCATACCCAAGGCATAAGCATGTTGAGAAAGGCCTTGGGAAGGCTTTTTATCTCCCCCTGACTGGCCTGAGTCTCTCTGTAGAAGAAGTGAGTAGCAGAAAGACAGAGATACAGAGTTCTGGATATTGAAGGCATGTCTCTATACATAAGCAGAAATGCCCCTATGGCAACCAGGAAAGATATATTTAAGCCATTTAAGGCACACTTTACCCACAGAGCTGATCTCTATGATAACTGGGCAGAGGCTACATGTCTTAGTTACTTTTCTGTTTCTGTGAAAACAAAACAAAACAAACAAACAAAAACCAAACACTGACCAAGATAGCTACACACAAGGAAGAGTTTACCCAGAGAGACGAGAGTCCATCATGGCAGAAAGTCACGGCAGTGGACACGGTGACCAGAGCAGGAGGCTCACGTCCTCACCGGAGGCAAGAAGCGGAGAGAAAACGGAAAGCAGAGTGAGGCCTGAAACTCAAATCCTGCCCTCGGGGACCTAGTTCGGCAAGGCTGCTCCTCAGACCTCCCCACAAAGCGCCACCAACTGCAGACCAAGTGTTCACATACTGCAAGCCATGGGGACATACCACACTTAAACCACTGCAGCACACAGAGACGAGGACAACTGAGGGAGCTTGGGGGGTCATTCTGCGGGTAAAAGCGCCTTCTGTTGTAGATCCCCAGCACTCCCATGAAAAGCCAGTGTGGTCCTGTGTACACCTGTGACCCGGCACTGTGGGAGGAAAGTGTCGGGAGCTTGCTGGCCACCAGCCTGGCTCTAGGTTCAGGACAGATCCTGTCCCGTGAAGGGACAATGCAGAGGATGGTAGGTGGGCCACCAGACATCCTCCTCAGGCATAGGCTTCATGACTAAACATAGGAAAAATATTCCTGCAGACCTGATCAGTCACCGCCCCCTCTGCTCCTTCACCAGAATGGACATAATGTTTGTGAAATCTCTGTGGAAGCTCCAGGGGTGTGTACAGACAAAACACTCTCAACAACACGGACCAAGGAGGAAACCATACTTTCCACTTAGGGCTAACGGGAAGGCTAAAGTAAGTAGGCCAGTGAACGCTGACACAGGAAGCTGCGTGAACCAGCAGTCGTGAATCAGCAGATGTGAACACAGAGGACAGTGAACGCTGACACGGGAAGCTGCGGGAACCAGCAGATGTGAACGCAGAGGACAGTGAACGCTGACACGGGAAGCTGCGGGAACCAGCAGACGTGAACCAGCAGACGTGAACTCAGAGGCCAGAATCGGACCCACACAGGCTGAGATGCAATGCAGCTGGCTAGCATTGCTTCAGTGCTGTCTCTCAACTTTTCCCAAAGTGGCGATGAGATTATTCAATGAAGAAAGGATAAGAAAAAGTAGGACAATGAACAAAAGGGGACAAAACTGTTAAAACTGTGTGTATACAACTTTATATACATATAATCCATGTAGCTGCGTGCACACGAGTGCCACTGTCCACAGACACTGGAAGAGGACGTCAGAGCCTCTGGGGCTGCCAGATGTAGACACTGGGAACTGAACTTAGGTCTTCTGCAAGAGCCGCACATAGTGCTAGCAGCTGAGCCACGGCTCAGCCCCACTGTTCTGACAAGTCAACTATCCTGCCAGGGAACTGACATCAAACCTGCAGGCCACAGCACATCAACAGTCAGTGGGAAAGTAGAAAACGGGGCCACAGGATGACTTAGAGGGCAAAGGTGCTTGCAGCCAAATCTGAGGAACTGAGTTCAATTCCTGAGACCCACATGGTAGACAGAACAGATTCCTCTGACCTACATTCACATACATATACATACACACACCACATACATATATCACACACACATACATAGTCATACATACACACACACACTCTCCACACATACCCCACACATACACACATACTCCCTTCCCACACATACATTCTCCCCTACATACATACATACTCATACATATACACCCATACACACACGCACACACACACACACACACACACTCCACACCTATCCTACACATATACACATACCCCACACACATACATACATCCCCAACACACATATATACATACTCATACACACACATCACAACCCCCCCCACATACACATACACCTATACAAACACATACACACACACACACACGAAAAAAGAAAGAAAAGCATGCAATGAATTTAAATAGATTTACATTTTTAATTCTGAAGAATAAACAAACATTTTATCTCTATACCATATATCCATATATTTAAAACAATAAATTGTTGATACATTCAACTCTAAAGCCTATGTTAG